TTCACCCGTGAAAGAGAGCTCCTGTGCCTAGTCACAAGCGGTGCAGAAGGTGAAACCTGAGCAAAGGCCCAGGGCAGGAGCAGGGAGAAGTCCGGAGGGCGAAGATCAGGGCAAGGCTTCATGCCTACATCCCTGGTCCTTGTGTGCAGCCTGAGACAGATCCCGGGGGGAGAAGCCGTTCACCTTGAGGCAGGAAGTTATTTGTCAGAACTCCACAGCAGGAACCGGGGACTGCTCAGGAGTGGGAAGCCACAGTCTGTGACCAAGATGGCTGTGAAGAGCACCCGAGGGCTCTTTTTTCCTTTCCCATCAGTGGAGGGTCGTGGATGTGGAGGCTTGAGAACGTTCCGGGTGCTGGAGCTCAGGGATCCTGCCTCTCCCTGGGGCTGGGAAGCATGCTTGCACCATGGCACCCAGCTTCACCTTCTCCCTTTTCTGCAGTAGGTTAAGGCCGCAATAAACCCCGCCCGCGAGGCAGTCGCTATGGTGACGGAGCAGGAGGTAGAGGCAATAGGGAAGATCCTAGTGGACCCCAAGCAGCCCCTGCCGGCCCGCTTCCGGGCCCTGTTCACGCTGCGGGGACTTGGTGGTCCAGAAGCCATCGCCTGGATCAGCAGGGGCTTTGAGGACAGCTCTGCCCTCTTGAAGCATGAGCTGGCATACTGCCTGGGCCAGATGCGGGACCCGAGTGCCATCCCTGTGTTGGTAGGTGTGCTGGGGGACACAAGCCAGGAACCCATGGTGCGCCACGAGGCAGGTGAGTGGGAGCGGCTAGTGGCGTGTGCAGCTTTGTCCCTGGGACACAGGCGGTGTGGCTGCAGGGGGAGATGGGAGCCGCAGGGCTGTGGGCAGAGAAGGGAGGGGCTCCTCATCTCTCAGCAGCAGAGTTCCAACCTCCTAGCCAGGTCCCTGGAATCACCCATGCCAGCCTGTTTCTGGCCTCAGGGACTTGGGACACCCTGTACCCCTTGTCCCTAAGCCTGTTCAGTGTGCAGGCCTGGTCTGATGATGACTTCTTACCCACCCGGAGGCTCCGGCTTGCATGGGCTCACTTTAGCCCCAGTAGGCCAGCTTCTTAAGGAAGGATTCTGGCCAGCTGGGAGGCTGTATGCCCAGTCACGGCCAGGGGTACCAGCTGGGTGCTGGGCATCAAGCAAGCTCCTGCCTGCTGGCTTGTCTCCTCAGGGGAAGCACTGGGGGCGATCGGTAACCCGGAAGTTCTAGACCTCCTGAAGCAGTATGCCACCGACCCAGTGGTTGAGGTGAGGAGACTCTTGACTAGTCCAGTCCTACTGGGACCAGCTCTAGAGTCCATATCTGGTTACCAGGGCAACCTCCTGGAAAAGGATGCTCTGGAGATGGAGGGGCACCCCACAAGTTCCCCCCACAGCCCTGGGTCTCCAGCCTTGAGATTTTGACCTCTGCCCTTACCTGCTCACTGCCAATGCCTGTGACCTATATGGTCCTTCTCCCTCACCCACCCGTTCAGCACCCACGAGTGTCCTTTCCATCTCTGAACATTCTATCCATTCCTGTCATGGAGCCCATGCTGTGTGGCCTTTTGTGTCTGTGTCTCCGAGCACCTTGTCCTGAAGGTTGGTCCACGCTGTGTTGTGTGTATGAGCCTTGCCCTTGTTCACGGCTGAGCAATGTATCTACAGTATGCCTGTGGCCGCTGGGCTCCACCCACTGCTGGCTGTCATTCCTCATGACCCCGTGCGTGGGTGTGCTCCCTGCTTCTCCTGCTCTGGCCAGCCTCATGGCCTTTGCACAGACTGCTCTGTGTTCCCCTGGCCCCTCACCCCCGCCCCTCATCCCAGGTGTTTGCTCTATCCCCTGCTTAGTCCGTGTCCTGCCCGAAGCCTGCCCGGCTCAGCTGCAGGGTGAGAGCGGGGACTGGGCCAGATGCGCACCCAGACGGCAGACTCTCACTGCCGCCCCTCCCCACCCCTTGCAGGTGGCTGAGACGTGCCAGCTGGCCGTCGGGCGCCTGGAGTGGCTGCAGCAGCATCCCGGGGAGCCTGCCTGCGCAGGGCCCTACCTCTCGGTAGACCCGGCCCCGCCTTCGGAGGAGCATGACGTGGCGCGGCTGCGAGAGGCCCTGTTAGACGAGGCCCGGCCTCTCTTTGAGCGGTACCGCGCCATGTTCGCCCTGCGCAACGTGGGTGGCGAGGAGGCTGCCCTAGCCCTGGCCGAAGGTGAGCATGGAGCCCAGCCCTGGGGACCTGGGTGGTCTCCTCCGCAGGGCGAGGAGGAGGAGACCCTCCTCCTGGGTGACGGTGGTCGCGGTGGTCACGGAGGGCCCCACGCCCACCCAGCCGTCCTCACCCTGTTTCCGGTCCCTTGCCCTGCAGGCCTGCGCTGCGGTAGCGCGCTCTTCCGCCATGAGGTGGGCTATGTGCTGGGCCAGCTACAGCACGAGGCAGCTGTGTCCGAGTTGGCAGCCACCTTGGCACGGACCACCGAGAGCCCCATGGTGCGGCACGAGTGCGCAGAGGCCCTGGGCGCCATTGCCAGGCCCACCTGCCTGGTCGCACTGCGGGACCACGTCACCGACCCTGAGCAGGTGGTGCGGGAGAGCTGCCAGGTGGCCCTGGACATGTACGCACACGAGACCGGCCAGGACTTCCAGTACGCAGACGGACTGGAGCGCCTGAGGACGACACCCTAACCCAGCTCCTGGCTCGCCTGGCAGTGCCCAGGGTGCCACCCGGCAATGCCCAAGGCGGTACTCAGAATGTCTCAGGTCTGCACCCTGAACCTGACCTGAACTTTGCACCTGGATTCTGCCCGTCACCTGACCATGTGCTGGGACTCCCTGTCACCTGATCCCGGCCTGCTGCAGCCCGGCCTTCTGTGTGTGGGGCCCGACAGCCGCGCCTGTGCTCCGGGGCAGCTGTGTGGGCCTCCTGCCCTGCCCTCCCACAGTGCCTGCCTCGCGGGGTGCCCACTCCTGCTGGCACTGCCCTGTGACTTTGTGTCTCATGTGCCAGTCCAGCCCAGCACAGCCTGCAGCGGGGAGGCTTCCAGGCTTGCGAAGGCGGGGTCCCATGGCAGGGTTGACCGAGCCTGAGTTCACAGGGAATGGGAGTGTGTGGGCCGCCTCGCCTCACATCCAGGCCAAGCAGGGGCACAAGCCAACCCTAGGCGCCACACAAATAAAATAAGTTATTTTTCCTAAATGCTGGCTCGTGGCGTACAAGGTCGGTGGCCTTGGGGGTCACACAGGAAGAGTCCAGCTCCCATGAGTCTGTGCTAACTGGGGCGCCCCGCTCCCTGCACCCCATCCACCTCTGTAAATGGATTTGACACAACCCACCACCCCACAGCCGTCAGCTCTACTTTCCAAGGCCTGGAACCCAGATGGGTGCCCTAACCATGCGCACGATGCCACCGGGCGGGTGGCTCTGGCGGGTCACGGGCCGCCGGGCCTCCCTCCAGTGGCCACAGCTCTCGGCTCAGCAGGTCCCAGAGACCTCCGCCTTCTTTGCTCTCCCCACAAAGGGGGCCTGGCCAGGGTGCCTGCACCAGTCCAGCCGGCTGTGTCCCAGAGCAGGACTGGTTTGAGGCCCCCGCTGCTGGCAGATGCCCGGGCAGGTCGGCCAACATCACTGCCACCCTGGAGCTCTTGATGTACGAGATTTTATTTACTTGAGGCAGCATGTCTCTGAACCTGGAGCTTGCTGAGCGACCTGGGCTGTGGTGCTTAACGGGTCCTTCTGTCTCAGTGCCCCGGGGCGCTGGGGCACGGTGCAGCCACCTGCCTGGGTTCTGCATGGGTTTGGGGGGTGTGGGTTCAGGTGTCTGGTTGTTGACAAGCACCTTCGCCTGAGCTAGCCTCCAGCCCTGTTTTAGACACGTGGGTGCTGAGAACCAAACCCAGGTTCTGTGCAAGAGCCGCTCCGGCCAGTGAGCTCCCTGTTCCTCCCCAGGCTGGGTCTCCTGCAGCCCAGGCTGCCTTGAACTCCAACCTGACATGTAGCAAAGGATGATTCCCGGCCTCCCTGCCCTCGATGGCAGGTATTCGGCAGCTCCACCATTTTTTTTTTTAGTTGGGGCTGCAATGCATAGACCAGGCTAGACTGGAATTCCCTTGCCTCAGTCTCCTGGATGCCAGGCATCCCTCCCTCCAACATTCTTCCTGGCTGGTCACTTCCGTCTGTCCATCAACACAGAGCGGTTGCCAAGAATTCTCGCTCGGGATGCAAGCCTCCTCACCTCCCATTTCTCCCCATTATGGCTTAAATGTGTGTCCCCAGGAAATGCCCATGGGAGGCCTCCTGAGACCCAAGTTACAGCTCCCCTTTCTGCCTTCCGTTCCATCTGACCTGGTCGGTCTCCTGGGTCACCCTCCCTGATCCCTCCTGGCTTTGTTCTCCTGGCCCGGCCCTTCTGCCTCTCTCTCAGTCTTTCCATCTCCAGGCCTCCACCTGATACTCTTCTGTGGAACTCAGGCCGTGTGGAAGTCACGGGCAGACTGTGAGGCCGACACCCCTTGCCCAGCTGTCCCGAATACTGGGTGTGCACCCGGTGACTCAGACCGTGAAGCGGGAGGCAGTGTGCGTGCGCTGTGGGCTTGGCTGTCCTGGATGTGACATCAAGCCCTCAAGGCAGGAGGAACATCCACCCTGCCAGGGACACCCGAGATGGGGAGAACCACAGCCGGGAGCGCCTCTCAGAACTAGGATTTGAACCCCGTTCTCTCAGGGAGCACTCAGGCTCCGCCCTTGTAGCTCCCACTGCGCTTAGAACCTCCCAGGGCTCCTCCAGGCTGTCCTGAGCACTCAGTGTAGAGCCACGGTCTATGCCACTCCTCTATCCCCGTCCTCCCCACAGTGGCCACCAGAGGACGGCCGTGAGCAGACTGCGCTGCCTGCAGCCCCCTAGGTGCCCACCCGGCCCTCTCCTCCTCTCCTCCGTCCAGTCCCCACTCTGTCCCTCCCCCTGAGCGCTCTCCCGGGGCCTCAGCAGGCCAGCTCTCTGCTTAGCATACACCTGGGCAGAGGGCTCCGGGCTGCGAAGGCCCTGGGGTCAGTGCGGATGTCAGCGTCACTTCTGGGGAGGGAGGCAGGGACCCAGCCCTGACAGATGGCCTGCAGGAGCCGTCCTAATCCTTTTAGCTCATCCCCTAATGCGCCCATACGTGGCTCCTTCTAAAGGTGCCCCAGCCATCGCGGGGTCCATGGATGACAGAGAGGACTGGAGCCCAGCCCCTCCGATGTATGAGGAGTACCGGCCGCCCCCGCTGGACGCCATCCGCCTGCCTCGCTATGCCATGTACCTGCTGATGGCCGCCATCCTGGTGGTGGCCGTGGCCTACGCCATAGTTGGCCACCTCATCAAAGACCTAGCCCACGACCTGGCTGGTGAGCCACGCTCCTGGGCTGGGGTCACCGGGGGTGCGGGGTGGAGCCCAGGACCTGGGCAGGGTCTGCCCACGGGGTGGGTGGGGCCAGGGGGCGGGGTCAGCCCCGACCAAACCAGCTACTTGTTACTGCAGACTGGGCCTTTGGCCCCAAGCCCGACCAGGAGGAAGGTCCCCGAGAGCTGCGGGCCAGCCTGGCCGCCGAGGACCTGGAAGAGCTGGACCTTCAGCTGGCCCTGGCCTGGCGCGGGGAGGAGGACCCTGCCCGCGCTCCGCGACGCCCCTCCATCGCCTTCAAGGACCCGCCCGTGCAAACCAAATTTTGGAGGCTGGGCTGACCTGGCGGGACAGCCCCTGAGACTCTGCTGGGCAGAGCGGTTTCCACGGGCCCTGTGTCCCCACCGCTGCTGCAGTTGGGCCACCTGTGTGTGCCGCAGACATGTGTGGCCCATAACACAGGGTTTGGCCGTCCTGAAACTCACAATTCTCCCGCCTCAGCTTAAGTGCTGGGTTGCAGACTCCACCCTCACTTTATTAAGACTTGTAGATAGGATCTTACGTAGCCCAGGCTAACCTGGAATTGATGTATAGTAGAGGATGATCTTGAACTTCTGATCCTCCTGTCTCCACCTCCTGACAGGTGTGCCCCGCCCCCCAGCTTTTGTGGCATTGGGAATGGAGCTCAGCGCCTCCAACAGGCTGGGCCTGACATTTTCTCCTTTTTGGTTTTTTTATGGCAGGGTTCCTCTGTGTAACAACCCTGGCCATCCTGACACTGACAGACATCTGCCTGCAACATTGCTTCTTCATTATGCAATTCCTCACACAGACTCCCGCCCCAGGGGTGTTTGCTGAGAGGAGGAGAGACTGCAGCCAGATTCACGTACAGATTAAAAGTTAGAGCATCCAAGTGCTGTCACCTCCCTGTCTACCTGGCCCTCCTCCCCCACCCACATAACCTTCCTGGGTGCCTCCAGGGAGCCTAGCAGCACAGATGGGAAACCGAGGCAGGCCGCTGAAGAATGTCTAGGTGAAGTCTCACGGGAGACTTGTCATACCCAGCACAGAACTATGCATTAGGGTCCTGTCCCCCTCAGACTTCAGAAGGCTGAGGCAGGAGAATGGCAAATTCCAGGCCAGCCTCAGCTATGGAGCAAAAGAAGCCAGGTGGGGTGAAGCCCCTGGGCTGTGAGACCCGTGGCCCAGCCATTCCTCGATGGCCCACCTCGCTGGCAGGCCTGTCAGTGTGGGCGCCTGATGGCCTATGAGGACACGTATACAGTAGGAGCTTAATCTAGGCCTGCCTGACAGGTTGAAGCAGGTCCTTGCTGACTCTGCTCAGCATTCACCTGAAGGGTCTGTCTGTCGTGGCATCTGGAGGGCGAGGGCGGGGCTCTATAACCATCCACACAGCAGTTTTCAAACTTTTAGTCTGGCTGTCCTTAACCTGAGTTCTGAGTTCAGTTCCCAGCAACCACACGGTGGCTCACAACCATCTACAGTGAGATCTGGTGCTCTCTTCTGACGTGCAGGCAGAATGCTGTGTAAATAATAAATAAATAAATCTTTAAAAAAAAACACAAAAGCCTTTTAGTTTATGATTATTCTAAAAAATGAATTCAAGCCGGGTAAGGTAGTTTCTTTCATCCAAGTACTCAGGAGGCAGAGGCAGGGGGATCTCCATGAGCTCAGGGCCAGCCTGGTCTACTGAGTTCCAGGATAGCTCTGGCTGTTGCCAAACAAACAAAGAAACAAATGAAAAACAAAACCAAATTTATTTTCCAGACCCTGTGAGACTGGCCTTGAACTTGGTATGTAGCTGAGGATGACCTTGAACTCTTCACCCTCCTACCTCCACCTAGGAGTGCTGGGGTGACAGGTGTGTGCCATCCCGCCTGGTTTCTAGGGTGCTTGGGATGGAACCCAGGTCCTCACGCATGCTACAAGAGAGCGCTCTGCCCCGGCACACGTTTTCTTTCTGGTGCCCAGGCTAGGCCTGAGGCTAGCCATCCTGCCTCAGGCTTCCCCTGTGTGGGAAGGACAGGCACAGGGCACCAACACCTGATCCTTTAGCCTCTCAGGCGCCCAGGCTGTGGCTGCTGCCGTGAGTGACCCCCGTGGGTGGGGCCCCCTTTGCCCAGGTGGGGCTCACTATCTAATCAAGCTTGGGGCTCAAGGTTGAGGGCAGAAGCCAGCTCGGGGTGTGTGTCAGCTGTCCGCATGCTCCGCCGGCAGATGGCCCTGCCACCGGACTTGAGGGTTCCTCCCGCCTGGGAGCTTGGTGCTGACAGAGCTCCCATGACTGTCAGCCCTCAAGCCTGATGGTGGGCACGTGTGAGGGTGAGGGCGTCACAGCGAGATAGCCTGACCTCTTGCAGGATGCTGGAGCGGATGCCTGGGGCTGGTCCTGGGCTGCCGGGCTCCAGGTAGGGATTCGAGGTGCGGGGGAAGGGAGGGACGGCCCGCGTTAATATTAAACCAGCTGCAGACTCTGCCCTCCCGGTGCAGGGGCCTGATGCCCAGCCAGGCGGGCATAGGAGGCCGGACCACAGGGGGTAGGTCCCCCGCCCCCCCCCCCAACTCCCGTCTTAACCCCACCCGGGTCCTGCGCCGCTCACAACGCAGCTGGACGCCGACCGGTTCCCAGCGCCGCTGGCCATGGACACCCTGGGCAGCCTGCTGCTGCTGCTGGCCGCAATGCTCCTGGCACCGGCTGAGGCCCAGCAGGGTAGGACTGGGCTTTGCAAAGCCCGTGCGGGGGGCGGGGAGGGGGTCAGGAACTCGGGCAGGGCCTCTCCACCGCCTCATTTCCCACTAGGAGAAACTGAGGCACGGAGAAGGCACAGGAAGAAGAGGAAATGTAGAGGGCCCTGGTAGGGAGGAATGCTCCCCAGGGCGGGCGCTCGTCCTTGGTACCCTTCTCAGCGCCCACAAGCTGAGGCCGCTGCCTTCCAAGGTGGTTCTCTGAGTCCATACAGGCCCCCTGGGAGCCCCCCCCCCCCCCCGGGCTTTCTCTGTCAGCCCCTCCCCTCCAGGAAGCAGGAGAACTGCGAGGACCCCCACCCCCAGTCCGGCCTCTTTAGGTCTCTCTAAACCCTGCCCTCCAGGACGAGCCCCTTTCCTTAACTTCCTCCTCCCCGCAGACCCCTCCTCTCCCTGCGCGCCCCTCCTTGCTGTCTCTGACTGGTCCTGCCCTCCGCAGCCTCTGAGCGCCGCCTGAAACCCTGGCTGGTAGGCCTGGCCGCGGTAGTGGGCTTCCTGTTTATAGTCTTCGTGCTCATGCTGGCCAACCGAGTGTGGTGCTCCAAAGCCAGGTGAGGAACCCCCACCTCGCCGCCGGCCTCCTGCCTTTCCGCGCTCCCTCACGGGGTCAGCCTGGAGGTCACCTCGGTTCACCGCCATCCCTGCCCTCGGTGGGGGATACTGAGGCAGAGAACAGCTTCCAGCTGTCATATCAACCTTTGTTCCCGTGTGCGCAGAGCGGAAGATGAAGAGATCGCTGTCAGAATGGAGCACATTGAGAGCCAGAACATGGAGTCAAGGTACCTCAAAGGCGACCACCCCTGGGCAGACAGTATGGTGAGGCCTAGCTAGGACGGGGCAGTGCCCAGCTCTGTCCAGGAATCCCAAATGCAGGGTCTGGCTCTGAGAGAAGTGGGGACACAGTTGGAACAGGCAGACAGGAATTATGATGGAATATTTATTAATTGTAGAGGGACTTCCTAGCCCGGCTGGCTCCCAAACAGTTGAGGCAGAGACCAACCGATTCATTTACACAGCTTTAAGCACACTAAGCCCGATTTATACTGATTTTCTAAGCTAGTCTGGCCACCTCCCAGCCACACTCCCCAAGCTCTGTGCCAGTCTTCATCCTGTCTGGGCTGGATCTACTCCCTTAGGCCATGTCCTCTCTCTCCTTCCTCCTCTTCCCTCTCTCTGCCTCTTGGTCCCCACCTGAGCTCCCAAGTCTGGGAACCAAAGCCCCACCCCCACGTCTCTTTTGCCTAGTTACAGGCTGTCTAGACTTCATTAACCAACCAGAGATAATTGGGGAACGAAGTTTACAGACACTGTTTGGTGTCCATGAGAATTCACTTGTCTGGACTGCAACCAGATCTTGGGGTCCAGACTTTAGCATCTGAACACATATAGCACTGGATCAAACCCCCAACAGAGCGTACAGAAGAGCGCCATGAATGTGATAGGGCCCTGAAGATGGGAGGGTTGAGAATTAGAGACTGGGTGTGCCTGTAGCTAGAACTGCAGAGGACACAGCTGCCTGCCCTGAGATGCAGCATGGTTTTCTGTCAGCATCACTCTCTTCAACCACTGACCCATCATCACCCACCCATCCATCTACCATCCATCCACCATCCATCTACCATCCACCCATCCATCCATCTACCATCCATCCACCCATCCACCCATCCATCCACCATC